ACGAGGAGACAGAGAGAACAAACAGACACACAAAAATGCAAACAGAATCAGCTTAGAGAGATAACCAGCAGCAGCAATAACAGCAGCAGCAGCGGCAATCACAGTAGCAGCAACCACAGCAGCAGCAGCAGCAGCAGCAGCAGCAGCAGCAGCAGCAGCAGCAGCAGTTTACTTCTTTGGCGATGAATGGGTTAGCTCCATAGGCCAGCAGCAACCGCACCACCGGCAGCAGACCCCAAAAGACAGAATAAAAAAGAGGAGAAGGCAAACGAGAAGAAACAATAAACACCTCAGGTGACGCCCCGTTCTCAAGCAGCAACTGCATCTGCAGCAACACAACAGCAGCAGCAACAGCAGCAGCAACAGCAGCAGCAGCAGCAGCAGCAGTAAGAGCAACAGCAGCAGCAGCAGAAAAGCCAGAGTTTATAAAGGCATTCCTGATACGGCGAAGCATCAACAACTAGCTACTGCAAAAACAGCAGCAACACCTGCAGCTCTTGCTGCGGCTGCTGCTGCTGCTTCTTCTGCTGCTGCTGCTGCTGCTATCCCTTCTCGAGCCTTCAGGTGTACAGACAACTCACCAGGGCTGCATTCCTGCTGTTTGCTGCCTGCAGCAACGCAGGTGTATCTACACCAGCATAAATAACAACTGGATGGCTGAGTGCTGCAGCAGCAGCTTCGAGGTCTCCTATAGAAGGTAGCTGCTGTGCTGCTGCTGCTGCTGCTTCTGCTGCTCCTGCTGCTGCTCCTGGTGCTGCAACTGTATATATACCAAACGCTGGCCCCAGTGTTGCTGCTTGTCGCTGCTGAAAACGAGTGCAGCAATCAAGAGCATAGACAGCAAGCCTCTTTGCTGCTGCTGCTGCTACTGCTGCTGCTGCTGCAGCACAACGAGACTGTGCAGACAGGGGGATGGGGGCCTCGGGGGCCCCCCCAAAAGCTAACAGCAACCGCACCTTCTCTTCTGCTGCAGTGCCGCATGCAGCAGCAACACTCACAGCCGATAGGCCGTGCTGCAGCAAACAACACAACAGATATTGTTGCAGCAGTAAACTATACATATATACATATATATATATATATATATATATATATATATATATATATATATATATATATATATA